TTTGTGAAATGCCTATGATTTAAACTGATAGAAGATAAGGTTGGGGTAAGTGTGGAAACAAGCAGGTTGCATACTAGGTTGAAAACAGTAAATGTTATAAAAGGCATTCAGCATGAAGTTATAAATAAAGGCAATAGATCAGGTCAGCAAACAAAGGGGGCCAGCAGAGGGCAGCAAGGGACTAGCTCCCTTAAGGTTTACTATACCAATAGCAGGAGTGTAAGAAATAAGATAGATGAGCTAAGATTAATTGCAAGTGCAGGAAACATAGATATTATGCATAACAGAGACCTGGCTCAATCAGAAAGAGTAGAGAGATGCCCTCTGAATGTCACATACAAGGCTATAAATTATTCCACACTGAAATGGGGGGGGGGGGGGGGGGGGGGGGGGGGGGGGGGGGGGGGGGGGGGGGGGGGGGGGGGGGTCAACAGGAAGGGTGGTGGAGTACGATGTATGTCAGAGACAATTTTAAATTTGTTGTGTTCGACAAGATATAAAATTAGAAGCGTCGGCCACTGAAATCTGTTTGGTTACAGGCTTCTCGGGGCCGAGAAAAACTAATTTTGGTTGTGATTTACAGTCAAAAGACTTGGCAGACGATGCATACTTCCACCCAATGAAAAGCAGGGGTGTCACTAGCCGTTAAAGAGACCATACAATAAGTGTCAGGCCCGAGACGTGCAATCATGTTCAACTTCCCCCAGCATACATAAGGGGATACCAACAGACCCCTGCAGTCTTCAAGCTGCACTGGACAAGCAACCTAAAGTCGTTTTTCTGACCAGCCAGGCTGTTGCTCGTTACGTTGTTTGCGTGCAGCCAGCAGCAACAGCCTGGTTGATCAGCTCTGATCCACCAGGAGCCTGTCACAGACCGGGCGCGGGGCGTGACCCCTCGAACTCTCTCCAGGTAAACTCCCAGGTATGCTAACCTTCCTATGTTTTAGAGATATACCAAAGTTGGATGAATCTTATTGTAACTAGCTGGCCCAGCGGCTAATGCGATGGCTGGAGTTTTGAGACTGACCGCGGATTCAAATCCCACCCGTCGTACGATTGAAACAAAGGATGTTAAAGAGACCTTGATGCCTTGCATTGTGACTGATTCTGTGGTTAACTGTCAAGGAGTAGTTTAAGTGGAGTGTTTTATAGTGAATATATATATATATATATATATATAATATATATATATATATAATATATATATATATATAATAAATATATATAATATATATATATATATATATAAATATATTTATATATATGTCGTGCCGAATATGTAAAACTGACAATTAGCAAGAACTTAACATTTAAAAATTAAGTACTTTCTGAAATTTTCTCTTATACGTTTAAAGATATATTTTTTTCATTATTTTTAATGTAAAAATATTTATTTTGCACCAAAGAATCATATGGAAAACTTACCTAACCTTATTATAACAAGAACAATTAATTTTAACCTAACCCAACTAATAATTTTAAGTATGTTTATAATAATTTAATACTAAACAAACACAATCAAATATTTTTTTTTCGTTTGGTTCAGAATGATTTTGGCGAAATATTGCATACACAAAATTTCACTTGACCTTACCGGCAAGATGAGCGTTGCTATTTAAGAGGCCAATAATTCGCAAGTTCTTGCCTATTAGGCAGACATACATACATATATATATATATAATATATATATATAGTATATATATATAAATATATATATATATATATATATATATATATATATATATATATATACAGTGGGACCCTCGACAAACGCTATTAATCCATTCCTGAGAGTCATCGTTAGTCAAAATAAATCATTATTCAAGTTAATTTTCCCCATAAGAAAATAATGGAAATCCAATTAATCCGTGCAGAGACACCCAAAAGTATTGAAAAAAAAAAATTGACACATGAAATATTAATTAATAATACACACAAACTGAAGAAGACATGCACAGTTTACAGCACTTACCTTTATTGAATATCTGGTGATGATTGATGGGATGGGAAGAGGGGAGTGTTGTTGATGGTCTAGTGTTTAGAAGGGAATCCCCTTCCATTATACTTGAGGTGGCAATCATTTTTCCGGGTTACTTCCCTTCTTCTTTTAATGCCACAAGGACCAGCTTGAGTCACTGCCACCCTGTCGCACAACAATATCCTGCCCATAAGGCCTGTACCTCCCGTTCCTTTATGACATTCACAAAGTGTTTCACAACATTGTCCAGTGTCACCATTGAAACTCTTGTTCAGGTTTCAGACCTTCACTGTATTATACCTCCTTGAAATTCCTGCACATATTTTTTCAGCTGCTTTTTGGTCCAAACTGGCAGCCTCACCATGCTATCACACAATGGTATGCCACTAATGATTCTTAAATCTCTCAAACCACCCTTTGCTGCCTTAAAATTCACTCACATCACCACTAGTTGCTGGCAATTTTCCTAATTAAATCGCATGCATCTTCCTAGCCTTTTCACATTATGATCGCTTGAGAGATCTATCTCCTGATACCTGTTTTTTCGTTTATCCATACCAATAACATCTCTCAACATCTTCTATCACTTTGCGATCTCAGTTTCGAAAACATAGTTGCACCTTTGGCAAGAACAGCTTCCTTGATTGTCGTTTCTTGGCCACAATAGTAGCGATGGTTGATTGTGGGTTTTTGTGTACAGCCTGGCCAGCCCGGAGACATTGCACTCCCACTTTCATACTTAACAATGATCTCTTTCTTTCAATCCCATAGTAATTTCTCACCTTTTGCTGTACGTTGGTACTAGAAGCTTCTTAGGGGCCCATTGGTGACTTATTTTGCAGGTGCAATCACTAAAAAGCTGGGTGAAATATGAAATGTTCCGATAGTATGCTGGAAAGCGACCGCGGTGCTGGCTGGCTTTGGTAAACACTGCCAGACGTGGACGCGTCTCAGAGCGAACGAATAGTGTTGGTGAGTTTTTTAGCGCTAATTCGAGGCAAAATTTTTGCGATAAAAATGTATCGCTTGTCAGATTTATCGTAATCGATGCCATCGCTGGTCGAGGGGTCCCCTGTATATTATATATATATATAGTCGTGCCGAAAGGCAGAAACTTGCGATCTTGGCTTAAAGCAACGCAGCATCTTGCCATATAGGACAAGTGAAAATTTGTGTATGCATAATTTCGCCAAAATCATTCTGAACCTAACGAAAAAAATATATTTGGATTGTGTTTGTTTAGTACTAAATATTGTAAATGTATTTAAAATATATTTAATTGGGTTGGGCAAAAATACATTGTTCTTGTTATAATAAGGTTAGGTAACGTTTTTTCTAAAGATTCCTTTTGGTGCAAAATTATAAATTTTACATTAAACATTAATAAAAAATATATATCTTTAAACGTATAAGAAAGAAAATTTCAGAACGACTTAATTTAAATGAGTTCTGCTATTTGGACCAGTTTTACATATTCGGCACGACATATATACATATATATACTATATATATATACATATATATAATGATACAATATATATATATATATATATATATAAATATAATTATATATATAATATATAATATTTTTAAATTATTTATTTATTTATTTTATTTTATTTATTTATTTTATTGTATACAATTTGAGCACACATACAGAGGTACAAAAAAATACAGATAAGAGCAGCATGCCAAAGCCACTTATACTATGCTTTAGCATTACGGGCTGGCTTAAAATTAACTTAAGATTAACTAAGCAATGATGAAATCATTTGATAAAACATTAATGTAAACAGATTACTATAAAGCACAAGTGAGTATTACAAAGACAGGTCATATGGTGCATGCATTGTTGTAATTCAGCCCATATGGGTATTCTGTTAGGTAGTGTATTTAAAAAATAATAAAGTTAGATTGGGTTTTAGGGGTTTAACATTTATGTGTATAATTGTGAAAAAACATTTAAGATTATACAATTTATAAGGTTCAGTTATTCAGTATTTATTTGGTTTTGGGTGAGTAATGATCTTTGAAAAGAGACTTGAATTATAAACAGGTAGTGTTTCTTTTATATTTACAGGTAATAAATTTCCCAGATTTTAGGGCCTTTTATGTGCATTGGGGTTTTGCATAGTGTGAATGGACACGAGGAACATCAGAGTGATCTGTGCCTTGTGTTATGGTCATGTGTTCTGTTGAGGTTGGCAAGGAGATGTTTGGGGGGAGGGTTTAATATCAGAGTTAAGTGTTCTTTGTAGTAATAGGTGCAGTAATAAGTATGGATTTTTTTGTATGGTGAGTAGGTTGATGTTTTGAATATTGGTGGAGTGTGCTGCCTGTAGTGTGAATTTGTTATCATTCTGACTGCAGCCTTTTGTTGGGTAATTAGTGGTCTGAGATGGTTAATTGTTGTTGAGCCCCATGCACAAATTCCATAGGTGAGATAGGGTAAATAAGAGAGTGATATAGGGCCAGGAGGGCTGATGTGGAGCATAGTCCCGTATTTTCGATAGTATGCCTACAGTCTTGGAAATTTTCTTAGAAATTTGTTGTATATGTGTATAAAATTTGAATCTATTATCAAGGTGGTTTCCTAAGAATTTTCCCTCTGTTAGCTTTGTGATAGGTGATCCATTTATCATTTGTTTAAGAGGGACATCTGTAGCTCTGTTACAAATGAATGAAGTAGGTTTTGTCAATGTTTAGTGTAAGTTTGTTAGTCCTCACCCGGGTAGATATTTTCTGTAATTCGGTATTTACGTATTGGCTAGCGTGACTGGGTTTCGGGTGGGAGAAGACGTATGTAGTGTCATCTGCAAATAGTGTGGGTTTGAGTAATTGCGAAGCATTTGGTAGGTCATTTATATATATATATATTCATATATATATTGTTACCCCTGGTCACTTATGCATTATTTGAGCCGCATATTTTAGAGGCACAGAAAATATGAGTGTATGTCTCTTTATATTTAGCAAGTTCAGTCTTTTGAAAGTGGTGGGGTGTGCTGTCTAGACAGGAGCTGGAAATCATCCGCACAGCAGCTTTTTGTTGAGGTACCTAGTTCAGCCATCAAAACTTTGGGGCCCAGTCCCTGGACCCATTACGTACCTCTGTAATCTTTTGACTACCGCCCACAGGATGGGTATGGGTGAAATAAAAAACATTTTAAAAACTAACTTATTAGTTTAAGGTGGTTGGCTGTGGTTGATCCCCTACACCTGTTGTCCTGTTCCCCTAGTAAGTAGATACCTGGGTGTTAGTCGATGGTGTGGGTCGCATCCTGAGGGACAAGATTGAGGACCCCAATGGAAATAAGACAGTCCTTCGATGACGCACTCCCTTTTTTGGGTCCTAGGGGGCCCCAGACGGAGGGGCCCAGGTTCGATTCCCGGCGGGTGGAAACATTTCGACACGTTTCCTTACACTGTTGTCCTGTTCACCTAGCAGCAAATAGGTACCTGGGTGTTAGTCGACGGGTTTGTGGGTCGCATCCTTACTAATAGGTATCAGTATGTCACCATTAAAGACACAGCATCAACAACAGGGCCCACTTGTACTGGATTTTCCGCAGGGAAGTGTCCTTGGTCCCCTGCTCTTTTTCATATACTCAAAGATCTTCCATACGTATCCAAAAACCCGAAAACCATTCTCTTGCTGACGACACGACTTATGTCATCTCTCACCTAATCTTGCCCCCTCAACACCATTGTTAATGAGGAGCTGATCAAAAAAATCGACTTGGATGACAGCCCAATAAAATTACGCTTAACACTGACAAAACCTACTATAATTATGTTTGGTAGCAGAGCAGGAGATGCACAAATTAGCATTAAGATCGACAACACCCAATTACCAGACATAATGAGGGCAAATTCCTAGGCTTTTACCTTGGCAATAACCCGAATTTCGCACCCATATCTAACACATAACCAAAAAAGTATCCAAAACGGGTTTGGGGTCCTCTCCAAGATACGTTTCTACGTGCCGCAAATGCCCTTCTCACACTATACCACACGCTTATTTTCCATACCTCACCTATGCTATTTGTGCTTGGGAATCAACTGCAGCAACACACCTAAAGCCAATAATAACCAAGAAAAAACTGCAGTAAGATAATCACTAAAAACCCCTCCCCGGAAACACACCCCCACTCTTCATAGATTTAAACTTACTCCCTGTTCAGTACATCCACACTTACTACTGTGCAATCTACATTACAGGACCTTAAACTCCAATATCAACCTTTACCTAAAACGCTTTCGTGATAGTTTTTGCAGAACCCCCAGGCACAACACCAGACACAAACATCTCTACGACATTCCCCGTGTCCGACTAAACCCTTTTCAAAATTCAATGTATGTCAAAGGCCCCAAAATCTGGAACACCCTACCTGAGAACTCTAGAACTGCAGACACATTCATCACCTTTAAAAAATACCATTAGAAAACATCTTATTTCCCTGATACACCCCATCAAACTAACTCCACGAATACCACCCGGTGGTTCACACTTACACTCACTCACCCATTTGACATAAACAGAAATATTAATCTCAATCTTAAAATAATGAATCTATGTACTCCAATACTGAAACTATGTACTGTGCCAAAACAAAACCATTTCACATTGCTAAACTCACAAACTAGTATTTAGTCACTTAGCCATAATACCAACTTACTTCATAATTTGTAATATTTTAAAATAAAGAATTACACTAAGTCTGCCCGAAATGCCTAGCCATGCTAGGCGTTCTAGTGGTACACTCTGTAATCATTATTTAACTACATGTAAACCACACAATAACCAAATTCTGTAAATTCAACATTGTAATCCTTATAGAGAATAAACTTTGAATTTGAATTTGAATCCTGGGGGACAAGATTAAGGACCCCAATGGAAATAAGTTAAGAGTCCTCGATGACGCACTGACTTTCTTGGGTTATCCTGGGTGGCTAACCCTCTGGGGTTAAAAATCCGAACGAAATCTTATCTTATCTTAACCCACTGGGATAAAAAAAAAATCCGAACAAATCCTATCCATCGGGAAGTCGGGCTGGATACTGTGTAAGCAGTCAGTGGCCCTGATAAACCCAACAAAGAAAATAAAAGAAAGATTTGTTGGGAGGTCGAATGACAGGTGGGCAAAGTTTACTAGTGGAAGTAGGTTATTTAATACGTTAGGCAATCGTTAGGTTTTAGAAAAATTCTCTATCAAAATTCGAAGATGTTACTGTGTCAGACGTATTATATAAATGGTCTAATATATGTCATGCTTGTTAAAATGCATTTAGTGACGCTGTATAGCCCTTGTGGCTTAGCGCTTCTTTTTTTATAATAATAATAATAATAATAATAATGTAAGCAGCGAGCTACATAAAATATCAAACTGAATGACGACCAACAAACTCAGGACTTCTGCCCCAGCCTTCGTCGGGTGTGGACGTCTCTCTCGCCTGTGTATTACCTGGAGTTTACCTGGAGAGAGTTCCGGGGGTCAACGCCCCCGCGGCCCGGTCTGTCACCAGGCCTCCTGGTGGATCAGAGCCTGATCAATCAGGCTGTTGCTGCTGGCTGCACGCAAACCAACGTACGAGCCACAGCCCGGCTGATCAGGAACTGACTTTAGGTGCTTGTCCAGTGCCAGCTTGAAGACTGCCAGGGGTCTGTTGGTAATCCCCCTTATGTATACTGCGAGGCAGTTGAACAGTCTCGGGCCCCTGACACTTATTGTATGGTCTCTTAACGTGCTAGTGACACCCCTGCTTTTCATTGGGGGGATGTTGCATCGTCTGCCAAGTCTTTTGCTTTCGTAGTGAGTGATTTTCGTGTGCAAGTTCGGTACTAGTCCCTCTAGGATTTTCCAGGTGTATATAATCATGTATCTCTCCCTCCTGCGTTCCAGGGAATACAGGTTTAGGAACCTCAAGCGCTCCCAGTAATTGAGGTGTTTTATCTCCGTTATGCGCGCCGTGAAAGTTCTCTGTGGCCTGGTGGCTAAAGCTCCCGCTTCACACACGGAGGGCCCGGGTTCGATTCCCGGCGGGTGGAAACATTCGACACGTTTCCTTACACCTATTGTCCTGTTCACCTAGCAGCAAATAGGTACCTGGGTGTTAGTCGACTGGTGTGGGTCGCATCCTGGGGGACAAGATTAAGGACCCCAATGGAAATAAGTTAGACAGTCCTCGATGACGCACTGACTTTCTTGGGTTATCCTGGGTGGCTAACCCTCCGGGGTTAAAAATCCGAACGAAATCATCAAATCATTCTAGGTCGGCAATTTCACCTGCCTTGAAAGGTGCTGTTAGTGTGCAGCAATATTCCAGCCTAGATAGAACAAGTGACCTGAAGAGTGTCATCATGGGCTTGGCCTCCCTAGTTTTGAAGGTTCTCATTATCCATCCTGTCATTTTTCTAGCAGATGCGATTGATACAATGTTATGGCCCTTGAAGGTGAGATCCTCTGACATGATCACTCCCAGGTCTTTGACGTTGGTGTTTCGCTCTATTTTGTGGCCAGAATTTGTTTTGTACTCTGATGAAGATTTAATTTCCTCATGTTTACCATACTGAGTAATTGAAATTTTCACGTTGAATTCATATTGTTTTCTGCAGCCACGAAAGATTTGGTTGATGCCCCTGGGCCTTGCAGTGTCTGCAAGGGGAAGAACGGTGCTGGGGCTGAGTCCTTGTCTATGTGGATATGAGGATGAGGAACAAGAGGGGAGCGATACTGTGCCTTGGGAACGGGGTTTTTCACCGTGCTGCCCGGACTTTCTCTTTTGAAACTATCTTGTGTTCTGTTATGAAAAAATTAAGACCCATCGCCGATTTTTCCCTTTTTTTTTTAGCGGCTTTTGGCGCTATTACCCCCTGGTACACTTGCAAAGGCTTTTGCAAAGTCTTATATTTTAATCTGCTTTTTTTTTGTTTCTAGTGCATTTGGCCCTTGTCGTAGTGACCCAAATATTTGAGACAGACAGGAGCACCTGTTCAAACCCCGTTCCCCCGGGGTTTGTTAATGATGGGTTTCTAGTGGGTGGTGATCTTGCTTCTTGGGCCCCTTTCAAGATTTTTATGTATGGGATTTTTGCTATTGGTCTGTAGTTCTTTGCTGTTGCTTTTTTGCCCCCCCTTTTTGGAGTGGGGCTAGTTGTTTTTTTTAGTATGTGGGACGACCCCCCGGGCCCCTGCTCCCCCTTTCCAAAAGGTGGAAAAAGGTCGTGATAGGGCTTCTTAGTTCTTGATGAACACAGAGTTCCATGAGTTGGCCCCGGGGGAGGGCATGGGATGTCATTTATCCCGTTCGAAGTCATTTTGGGGTCAGGGGTAACCGGATAGGCTTGTGTTAATCAAATTTTTGGCTCTTCCCTAAAAATTTTATTTTGATCTTGATCTCAGTTGGTTAGCGGCTTGCTAAAAACTAGTCATATTGGGACTTGATAGCTCATCATTTTCCCTTTCTGTATCTGTGTAGGACCCATCTTGTTTTAAGTAGGGGCCAAATGGCGTTGTTCTCGTTTTGATTTGGGATGGAGAAGAAATATTTGGGTTTCTTTCGATTTATTTTTGGCTTTTAGTTCTTCCCCGATTCCGATCCTAAAGGATTCTTTTGCTTAAGTTCGTGCTTGCTATTTCTTGACCCGTGTCCCCTAGCTTTCAATATATTCCTTTTTAGCCGTCTGTTATTCTTTTCCGCGCCTGTAAAGGGAGCACCCGTTCTTTCTATTTTACTCTACTCCTCCTTTTTTTAGAGGAATAAACCTTGTGCATACATCGATGCCCCGAGTTAATCTGTTTTTTGGGATAATTGGGGGCTGTGTTGCTTTGTAAAAATTTTCACCCTTCTTCTGGGACGCTTGTCCCCATCTATTTTGCCCGCGGGGCACTCTACAGGAGGGGCACCTGTACATTGGCTTACTTTTAACAGCTCCATTTTTTCGTTCTGCGATTAATTCTTTATCGGTCTTTGGGGGGAAGCTGGTTACTGAACGCAGGTAGGAGTATGGGCGTCCCTCTCTGTGGGGCTTGGCAAAGGGGGTCCACGGATCTATTTTTAAAACTTCACGTTTCTATCTCTGTTTTACAAAGGAACTTCTGTTCCTTTTCTCTCATCGCCCAGCCTCGGGCAACAAATCTTCCTCGTACCATCGAGAAGTCGGGCTGGATACGGCTTATGCTGCAGTGGCCCTGATAAACCCAACAAAGAAAGAAAGAAAAACCCCCTTCATGCTTTTTGGAAACTGAGCATTAAATATCCAGCTAAACATATCGACAAATGGTTCACCCATTACAAGACACACTGAGGGAAAATTTCTAAGACTCTACCTTGACTTAAATTTCAGACCCACATCCAGCATATAACTAAAAGTTTCAAAAACATTAGGTATCCTTCCAAGGTATGATACTATGTACCCCAAATGGCGCTCCTTTATATCACTATATTATTATTATTATTATTATTATTATAATCAAAAGAAGCGCTAAGCCACAAGGGCTATACAGCTTATATCACTCTATACACAAATAACCCGCACATAAAAGAGAGAAGCTTACGACGACGTTTCGGTCCGACCTGGACCATTGACAAAGTCCCTCTTTTATGTGCGGGTTATTTGTGTATCGTTCCAGTCACGGTATTGTGCCTTTTTTGTTATTTATATCACTCTACAATATACCCTTACCTCACCTATGGTGTTTGTGCTTGGGGATCTACCATGGCCAATCATCTTAAACCTTTAAATAAGCCAACAAAAAGCTGCTGTGTGGATGATCACAAACTCCTGTGCCAGACAACACTCCCCACCACTCATCAAGAGCTTTAACTTACTTATTAATACACAAAATATGCACACTTATTATTGTGCCTACTATATATACAGAACATTAAACTCCAATATCAACCTTCTACTCAAACTTCTAGACAGCTTCAACAGAACACACAGGCATAACATGAGACAAAGCACTTTTTGACATCCCTCATGTCCATCTCGCACTATGCAAAAATGCAATGCACATAACGGGCCCCAAGATCTGGAACTCTGCCTGAAATAGCAAGAGGTCCCCTGCCCACAAATCAATTTAGGACTATACTTAAAAATCATATCTCTCAATAACAACCATACCCACACTATGCTGATCTCTAACCAAATTTGAAGCAACTCTCCCAGATATTTTATTATCCCTTAACTGTTAGGCCAATATTACAAACTTAAAAATGTATGCCTATATCATAAATTGTACTACCTCATATTAATAACAGAGTAAAATATTGAATATTTACAATCTATTACTCTTCACCTGTCTAGACTTAAGTAGTCTTAAAGTATATTAGATTAAGTCTGCCCAAAATGCCTCAGCATGATAGTGGCTTTCTTTGTACCAATCAAATTATGAAATGTAAACACACATTGTAACTTTTGCAAAGAAATAAACTTTTGATTTTTTTTATTTGGTTTTTTGATAAGTTAGTAAGTTTATTCAGGTAAAGGTACACATAAAACAGTTACATACGTTTTCATACTTAGCAGCATATGTGTAGATTACCTACACAGTACAGTACTAGTAATTTATTCCTAGCCCCTTATACAAATCCAAGTCAGTAAATTTTTTTTTTTAAATTAATGTAAACAGTTATACAAAACAAACATAGTACAGCAGTTTATTCTTTTAAATTTTAAGTTTTATTTTTTATTTATATTTTCAAAATGTATCATTTCAGAATGTGTGATAAGGCAGAAGTTGTGGAAAACTTTTATGGAGTTTACATACTGTATTGTATCAACCCGAAGTTTCGGGGTAGAACTTATATTGGCTTTACTACAGACCCGAACCGTCGTATCAAGCAGCACAACAAGGGACAGAAAGCCGGGGGAGCTTTTAGGACAAGTAATAAAGGCCCGTGGTAAATGAATTTTCAGTCAATTGTCAGTTGTGTTGATAGTTAATTATTCTTATTCTTTCAAAGGCTATATGACCCTTGTGGGATTAGTGCTTAGTTTGGATTGTAATAATAATATTCTTTCAAAATGTTTTAGAAAAAATTAAACAAAATTTCTTGGATTGTAGAATCCATATCTACTGAATCTTTTGGTTTGTGCAATCACATGCCATGCCCTGTAAAATCTTCCTATTATTTATAAAATAATGAACTATGCATAAGCTGTCAAGATACATGGTGTTTTAATAAGTTGGCCTTCAGCAAACTGTAATTTGTTAATATAGTATTATGTAACTTCTACTGTTGAGTTTGACATGAATCATTAGTAATGAAAGTAGCATGGCACACAGTTTTGAATATAACATAACACATTATTTGTACATTAGTTTTGTGCATACAGTAATGTACATGGAAAAAATTAATAAATCATAACCTTGCAAACTTGTTGTATTAAGTTTCTCAGGTAAACTTGAATAGAGAATGGTATTTAAGCATTGAAGGGAAAACATACTGTTAAAACTTATACTGTACCAGTACATTAAAAATTACATGGGAAAAGGCATCAAGTTTGTAAAACCTTATAACTAAAATTTTGTCTTTATGAGAGTATTGATTTCTCTAAATAATATACCAGTTAATTTAGGTCACCCTGCCTCAGTGGGATACAGGCATATTGTTGAAAAAAAAAATTAGTTTAGTGTATTTTTATGTTAATGATACAATTTATAATGATGCTTTCTCACTCAAGTGGATGTTGACAGTATTGAGTATGAAACTGTGTTCAAGCAATCTATGATTGAAAATATAAATCATACACAAAATACATAATGTACATGTAAATGAATAATTGGTGCTATATTGTAATAAAGCTCCAAAAATAAAAACATTGCCAGCTAGAGTTAGGCATGGCTCAATTTCCTTAGAAGCTTGTGACCCAGAGTGATGATGCCAGTCCAATTCCATTTTACGTGAAATGTTTGTATGAGACATAAATAATAGTATTGCAGCATGAAAACAAAGGTTGCCATTTTTCTTGTTAAACTTTAGACAGCAAAGGGACATGTTGAAGAGGTTTGGGGAAATAGGTAAGTCAG